GAATTTCTACTTTTTCTTCCTCTTTGTGTACATATTTACATCAGTGGTATCAGAACTTCAAAAGGTCTTTGAAGAAGCTGAAAAAAACCAGCAGCCTTAGAGAAAACCAGTTAGCAAGCTTCATATATAGCCGAGTGTTTTTGGTGAGTGAGTGATATGACTTCAAGTGGTTTTTCTGCCTCATTACCTTCTATTTTTACATGAGAGAATTATGATTTCTGGGTTGTAAAAATGAAAGCCTAATTGAGAGCACATGATCTGTAGGAAATCATAGAAACTGGAGTTGAACTACCACCATTGAGGGCCAATCCAACCAATGCTCAGTTGAAGCAGCATAGGGAGGAGATAGCCAAGAAGTTTAAGGCCCTTTCTTACATGCAATTATCTGTCTCAAATGCTATTTTCACAAGGATTATAACCTGTAAAATAGCAAAGGAAGTATGTGACAGGTTGAAGTAAGAATTTCGAGTCAATGAAAGGACCAGATAGATGCAGGTGTTGAACTTCAGAAGGGAGTTTGAAACCTTAAAAATGGACTCTGAAATGGTTAAAGAATATGCTAATAGGCTGATGAAGGTAGTAAATCAAATAAAGCTGCTTGGAGACAATTTACCAGACAAAAGAGTAGTGGAAAAGGTTTTGATAAGTCCGCCAGAGAAGTTTGAATCCAAGATCTCTTCTTTTGAAGACTTCAGGGACTTGGCTAGAATTTCCTTTGCTGATCTTGTAAATGCTCTTCATGCCACAGAACAAAGAAGATTGTTCAAGCAAAAAGATCATGTTGAAGGAGCTCTATTTGCAAAAGGAAAACAAATAGCTCAAACCAGTTTTGGAGGAAAGAAAGCACAAAACAAGAAGAAGGAAGTAGAAGCTAAAGGCTCAGGCAAGGATACTAAGTATTCTCCATGCCCTCATTGCAAAAGGAAAGGCCATTCTCCTAAGCGGTGTTGGTTCAGACCTGGTTTATAGTGCAGGTCTTGCAAGCAGTTTGGAGATGTTCAAAAAGTCTGCAAGAACCAAAAAGAGAAGAAGGAATCGCAGCAGGCCAAAGTTGCTGAAGATCAGTCTGAAGAGCATCTGTTTTCTGCCATAAACTACATCGCTTCCAGCAGGGTTGAAACTTGGTTACTTGATAGTGGCTGTACTCATCATATGACTTCAAATTCAATATCTTTGTGGAATTAAATGATGCTTACAGATCAAAGGTGAAAGTGGGAAATTGAGAATATATAGAGGTGAAAGGAATTGGCAAAGTCACAGTGCAGACACCAATAGGTAATAAGTCATTTCTGATGTCTTGTATGTGCCTAGCATTGATCAAAACCTGATTAGTGTTGGCCAATTGATTGAGAAGAACTATATCTTAATATTTAAGGATAGTTGCAGTACTATTTTGAATCAAAACAATCTGGAATTGATGACAGTAGATATGAGGCATAGGAGTTTTCCTTTGGAGTGGAAGTATGTTAACTCTCATGCCCTCTCTAGTACATTGGTTGAATGTGCATTGTGGTACAAACGTTTTGGGCATGTCAATTACACCTTACTCAAAAATCTGAATGAACTAGAGTTAGTTGAAAAGCCAAAAGTGAGTGATGATGCTTGTAATTGTGATATCTGTCAATTGGGAAGACAAACTAGGCTGCCTTTTCCTAAAGACCAATCTAGAAAATCCCAAAGCAAGCTACAGTTGGTCCACTTTGATGTTTGTAGCCCTATGAGAACTTCAACCTTGAATGACAGCAGATACTTTGTCCTCTTTATTGATGATTTAACTAGAATGTGTTGGGTTTGCTTCCTTAAGATGAAGTCTGAGGTGCCTGCAATATTTCAAACACCAGCTAACCATTCCTTACTCACCTTAGCAAAAGGGGGGCTGTGAAAGAAAGAAAGAACATGACAGCTATGGAAATGGCAAGGTACTTGATGTTGGAGAAGAAAGTGCCAAGAGAATTTTAGGCTGAGGCAGTAAGTACATCTATCTATCTACTCAACAAGCTGACTACAAAGGCTTTGGATAAACTAACGCCCTATGAAGCTAGGCATGGAGTTAAACCAAATGTATCCCACTTGAAGGTGTTTGGAAGTGTATGTTACATTCATATACCAGATGTAAAAAGAGATAAGCTGAGTCAAAAAGCTGAGGCATGTGTATTGGTTAGCTACTGTGACAATGCGAAAGGATATAGAATCTATAATCTTCAAACCAAAAAAATATTTTCCAGCAGAGATGTCAAGGTTGATGAAAACTCTTCATGGAATTGGGAATCAAGTTCTGTGAATAAAATCGAGGTTCCAAAAATGACTCCATAGGATGTAGATGCTAATGTTAATGAAGAAGAAGCTGAAGTTGAGGCTGAACTTGATGATGGATCAGGTTCAGAGAATGAAGTGATTAGAAGTAAATCACTTGAAGACATCTATACTAGCTGCAATACAGCAGTTTTGGAGCCTTCAACTTTCATTGAAGCGGCTGATTCTCAAGCTTGGTTATATGTAATGAAGGAGGAGGTTAAGGTAATTGAAAAGAATGGAACTTGGATGATGGTTGATAGGCCAAAAAAATAAGAATGTTTGGAGTAAAATGGGTATATAGGACCAAAATGAATGCTGATAGTTCTGTCAACAGTTTCAAGGCTAGGCTAGTTGTAAAATACTATGCTCGAAAATATGGAGTCGATTTTACTGATACCTTTGCTCAGTAGCTAGGTTTGAGATAATCAGGTTGTTGTTTGCCACTGCTGCTCAATCAGAATGGAGGATATGCTAGGTAGATGTGAAGTCTGCCTTCCTGAATGGGCACTTGAATGAAGAAAGTTTTTATTGAGCAACCTGAAGGCTTTATCATATATGGAAGGAAGCATAAGGTGTACCTATTGAGGAAAGCCTTATATGGTTTATAGCAGGCGTCAAGAACTTGGTATAGCAGAGTAGATAAATACTTGAGTAGCCTTGGTTTCAACAAAAGTATCAATGAACAAACACTTTACATCAAACAAGTGGAGGAGGATTTGATCATTATTTCTCTATAAGTTGATGACCTCCTAATCACAGGGAGTAATGCATCTTTAATTGAATTGGTGAAGGATGAAATGAAGAAGGTATTTGAAATGACATATTTGGGTAAAATGAAGTACTTTCTTAGAATGGAGATTGATCAATCAAAGGATGGAATTTTTGTTTGCCAAAAGAGATATGCTAAAAAGGTGTTAAGAAAGTTTAATATGGAGAATTCCAAATCAATTAACACTCCTTTAGTTCGGAACTTAAAATTGTTGAAAGAGGATGGAGCAAAGAAGATTGATGAGAAGGTTTACAAAAGTTTAATTAGCATTTGCTCTACCAAACAGCCACTAGACCAAACCTGATGTTTGCTGTAAATATGTTGTCAAGATTCAGGCAAGAACCTAGTGAAATTCACTTCCAAGCTGCCAAAAGTGTGTTAAGATACATCAGATGAACAAAGGAGTTTGGGATCAATTTTAAGAAGTAAAAAATGTTGATGTTAACTGGTTTCACTGATAGTGATTGGGCAGGATCTTTTGATAACATGAAGAGCACTTTAGGCTATGTTTTCTATACTGGTCCAAGCCTTGTTTGCTGGAATTCAATCAAGCAAAAAACGGTGGTATAATCAACTACTGAAACTGAATACATAGCAGCAACTAAGGCAACAAATCAAGCCATATGGTTGAGGAAAATGATGAAGGATCTGAGCCACCAACAACCTGGAGCCACAACCATTTTTTGTGACAATCAATCTGCTGTAGCGATGGTGAAAAATCCAGTATTCTATGGAAGGACTAAACACATAAATATCAAGTATCACTTCATTAGGAAAGCTCAAGAAAGGAAGGAGGTGAAATTGAAGCATTGCAGTTCCGAGGAACAAGTGGCTGATATTTTCACCAAAACATTGCCTAAGGAAAGATTTGAAACATTAAGATAATATTTTGGAGTTTCCAACAAAAGTGTCAAGGAGGAGTGATGAACCGTGTGACACTTTTGTTGTCACCTAAGGAATGTTTTTACTTTGACTTATTTTATGCATTTGTACTCAATTATAGTCCATATTATAAAGTGTAACTTAAGCTAGTTT